ATAGTATCTGACAGAAACAGACTCTTATAATGTCAATATCGTTCCAAATCAAAACTTTCTATATAAATAAACATTTTTCAAAGCAGTGTTATTATCACTTGCAATTAAACATGGCATTTTTGTTACATAATTAATTATTATTATATAATAACATTGATTATTAACTGTTGTTTTATTGGGACAATGGTTATTTTCATTAATATAATGATTTGTTAATCATAAATCGATGTCCGATTTATTAATACTATGAATCTAATTTCATCAATATAATGAAAATCTGGTTATTAAATTAATGTAAGATTTTCATTAATATAATGAACGCGTTCATTGTCCTAAACCAAACCAAACCAAACGCGTTCTTTATTTTAGTGCTGAAACTTTAATAAACACATATTCATTATATTAATGTACTAAATCATTGATTAATGAGTTGTACATTGTGACAATGAACAATGTTATTAATACAACGAACACACTACATTATATTAATGTACGCGGTTATTAATATCATGAATAAAACATTAGGGCTTAAATGTCCGCCATGTTGATCGGTTACTTTGGCATTTTAAAAACGTTTGTGTGGTTGAGTTATTCAGTGAGGCTTTAGTTTCATTAGAGCGGTAAGTGTTCTCTTCAATATTATAAATATTTTAAATAAAAGTCCTATCGTATTGTAGTTAATTTGTTGTGTTGTCAAATCAAATTCCGCTGTTTGAGATCTCTGGTGTGGGTATTCATTAAAACAGCGGTTTCCAAATATGTTTCAGAAGATAAAAAACAAAAAGAAGAAAAACATAGTAACAAGTCGAGGCATGGAACTGATTATGGTAAATCGAATGTCCTTTTAATATTTGGCATTTTAATTATTTTGATATACGTCTTTTAGAACCGGAAGATGTTGAGACCTGCCTTCAAGCCCTCAAATTCGACAATTTAACATCGGACCCACTTGATGCGATTTGGAAAGCCTGTTGCAAATTCGTCTAGACGTTATCAAGTCTAAGGATACAGCTAATATAATGAAGAAATGGTTTTTTATAGAAATCCCTCAGGATATCGACTGGTAAATTAATTTTCTTATTATAATTTACCCTAAAATTAATAATAACATTACTATTCTCTTCGTGGATTCGATTTTTTTAATTTTTAATTTGTATATGCTATATCGAGTTTAATAAATTATTATTAGTTTATTGCACTTATTTTTTATTAATAATCCCTAATGGAAAAATTTACTGTGCTCGTAAGTAAGTAGGCACTATTAATAATTTTGTTACCTTTGTAGCTAAGGGCTTCAAATGGAAATCTATTTATAGTAGAATTATTTCAGGCAGTTGGCTGGGAAATGACTATCAATGACATTTCATATCAACATCAATGACAGCGATCTTCATCATCGATTATACGATGTAACAAGAGTTACTAATAGTGTCGACTTTTAAATGTATAACTAAATATGTTATGAAATTATTTCATTGTATTAATGATACGGTTCATTAATATAAGGATTTAGGTACATTATATTAATGAAATCTGTTCATTGTACGGAATGTGTTCTTCAAATTAATGAATACTGTTCATTGATTTAATGAACTTAAAGTTAATAGAGTCGTTCATCGGCTCAAAATTAATGATTTAATTAATTATATTAATGAACTTTTTCATTATATTTATGTCGACTTTTGGTTCAGTGAAGTACGTTAATAATAATTCCTTAAGTTTACTTAAAATGTATTACTAAATTATAATTATTGTACCTGTAGGTATAAAACAGATAGCAAAAAGTAAAAATATATAAATGTCAAAATTACTTTCACTATTTCTAAAAATAAACCGCTGAAAACAACGAGAATAGCACCTCGTTATCTAAAATAGCCCACTTGACCGTATGAATCAAGCAGATATTCATCGGCATTCATTAAGTTTAAATATCTCTTAATCACAAAACTATTAATACAGCAGAGAACTCTAAATGTATACGATACGAAGGTCTTTTTATAGATAAAAACAAAATAAAATTTAATTATTTGATTACATTGCGGTAATGAATTCATTTAATTGCAGTTTTACCTTGATTTTTGATAGGAGAGATGATTGAAATATAATTAAATCAACTTTTGTGGAAAAAATAATAATGGCAAGGTTAATATTTGAAAACTAAATCTAACTGAGAAGTACTCCACGTTTTTACAAACTATTAGAAAATAAATGAACTGCATATTATATGGTCAATTGAGTTGTCACGTTTTTTTACCAGGTCTGTTTTATTTGTGTCTCCCAATCATAGACATATTAAATGAATAGAAGATTTTAAATGACCGACTGAAAATATCAAAAAAGTAAATTAAATTTATTCGAATAGCAGACAACATTTTAGGACAACTTGTCATATTGATGTTTCATCTCTCTAGTACATAAGTCAGTAATATTGAAGATAATAATAATAATAAGGTAAAGTAATCTTGATAGCTTGCATTAAGACTTAGCAATTCCAAAATGATTAAATATCTTCGAAATTAAGGCATTATTACAACTAAATTTTTTGAAACAACTCCATTCTGAACTAGTGCACCTAATAATTAAGTTAATATAAGAAAAAAAGGGTTTTAAACATTTCCTTAATAGTTTATTACCTTTAAAATATCCCAATTTTAGGTTTGTAATTTACCGAAAATGGGTAACTATTCTTAGAACTTCTAAACCCATTATCTACTTCGAAATATTCTTTCTTCGTATATCAAAGTCCATAACGTTCAGTTCCACATTCAGCTGTATCGATCAATATTACAGTTGAGGGTTGGAACCTTTGGTGTTACACAGCAAAATAAAAACACTAAATCACCACAATACACCAAAACACTTTTACTTTTACACTGGACGCGCGTTTCGCTAACCATGTTAGCATCATCAGCAGATGATTATAAACTCAAATAACTAGTTTATAATCATCTGCTGATGATGCTAACATGGTTAGCGAAACGCGCGTCCAGTGTAAAAGTAAAAGTGTTTTGGTGTATTGTGGTGATTTAGTGTTTTTATTTTGCTGTATCGATCAACCTTACGTTTTAGGCATTTTAGGCTTGAAGGAGTTCCGTGCCAGCTACACGTTACCAAAAACAAGGTGACCTAATTCGATATCATTATTTTTAACAGCGCATTAATTAGAAAACTTCTGTTGAACGATGTTTATCCTGGCTTTTGTCGATCACCTATTTTTGGAGAGTTCTATAAATAAATTCAAAAAGAGTCCCTCAACATTTGCTTTTTAACAAGATTAGAGCGGTTAATGGTTGATGATAATTGGGGTCTTTTTTGCAATAGTTAGAATTGAAATAATATAATGCTGAGTTGGAGGAAGTATCTTCATATTTACTTCATTTTAGTTAGCAGAAAATTGGACTAAAAATAATTTTGTTTTATATGGCTTTGACTACAAAAATCTTTTCAAGTTTTCATATTTTAAAATTAAAATGTTCTTTGTCATGTTTTATTCACTATTATAAGAATAATTAATGATAGACTTCCATTTTATTACAACGATTACACGAATGGAAAATATCAACAGAGTTTTTGCTGCAAAGCGGCAATGTAATTCCATTTTATTTTGTAATAAGATCAAAGTAACTGATATGAATAAAAATAGGTGTTTTCATTTAATAATTTTTAGTCTTCAATTATTGCAATCTAAAGTACAGAAAAACCTAGTTGCTTCTAATCTGAATCTATAAGAATATTAAGTAGTATTATCTTTATTGTTGTGGAGGAGTATTTAATGTTCCAAAAAAAATACTTAATTAATTAAACTGAGTTAATTTTATTCACTGTAGATTTTTTAATCATTTTAGATTACTATTAATCATAGTGCAACGTCTACTATATTTTAAATACCTTTTATACAGTTCAGTAAATTGAAATAATGAAACTAAATAATACACAATTATAGCAGCTTTTCAACAGTTCAGAATCAACGGCCTCTATTAGATATGTAAATAGTCAACGTTTGATGGTAGGTCTGTTCTCAGAAGAATCCCTGACCAGTCAGCGCGTTTCTTATTGGTTGAAATGTGTAGAAACCAGACTAACAATCAGGTTTCTACGCATTTTAACCAATGAAAAACGTGCTCACTAGTCAGGGATTCTTCTGAGAACAGACCTGGTGGTTTGATCTAGAGTTAAACAGATTAGCTCATGGCATTTTTCGGTTATCCAATTCATTTGAGATTTTACTCAAAACAGTAAACCTCTAACAAAATTAAAAAATAGGCAAATGTGAGATAAGCCTGTTAAAATACTTTTATTATTCAAATACAAATATCAATTATTTTGGTGTTTATACTAAAAAAAAAAGATAATCATTATAATAATCAACAAGAGATAATCTCAAAAAATAATCCTAAATAATTCAGATGACATATGAATGTATTTTGTACCAAATACACGTGTAAGTGTAGTGCTGTCAAGAATCGGAGTGAAATGAAGTGTGGTTAAGTGTAGAGTTGCGGTTTAGGTAAAGTGATAAAAGGACGCTGTAACCAAATTACATCGATCTGCTATCATCGGAGTCCCGTTTTATAATGTTAGTTAAGTTTTTTTCTTTTAATCTGAATTTTCCAAGTCGTTTTTAAATCATTCTAGTCGATGTGTCAACACTGGGCGTCGAACAAGCTGATTCTGGTAATTGCTTGGTATTTTTATATTGCTGATTATCGATTGCTGTCGGCGGCTCTCAAAATGTTGCCACTATTTTTTAAAATGTTTAAAGTTAAATAACTTGGTTACTATCAATTTATTTTTAAAATGGTAAAGAGAAAATATGTTTCTTTTGGCCAGATCTACGACCCCTTAAAATATTTGCACTTATTTCTGTCATGTTTCTGTAATGATGTCTTTACTTAGACTTAAGGTAATTATGTGTTGCAAAAAATGGAAGAAATAAACTTAAAAAAAACATTACTAATTTATAATTTGTAATCGTTCATTCAAAAATAATTCATATTTACCTCCGAAAAAGTGGGGGTTCGACCAAGAGCAAATGAAAATCGTTCTCTGACGATACCTCTCGATCTCTGTGGTGAACGGCGCATTTAAAGCTTCTTGATCGTTTTCCAGTCATCTGAAAAAAAATACATCCATAAATAAAACAGCATTCATGTCAGAAACACCTAACATCAATAGTGACAAGGTTAAAACCATATAAAATAATTAAACAGAAAATATATAATATCAGACAAAAATAACTGCAGCACAAACTTTTGCCTTAAGCCCGGTATACAATAACCCGCGTAATCTATTTTAAGGGCCGGTCCACGCATAACTCATCTCGATTAGATCGGAATGCCGAAGAGATTGCGTTCCACGCCCCCTCGCTAACTAAATTAAACTCATGTAAATGAACACTCCCGATTAATTAAATATCGGCCGCGTAGTGTATTTTCTTTATTTATTTTCGTGTAGGGCAGGCCGTTTTTTAACCAACCCCGACCGTCCATCAATTGGTCAGTTGCCAGAGGAGACCCGTGCGAAATTTTTGTATCTTTATCTCTGGAAGCAATGTTAACATTCCATCGGTTTTCAATAATTTTAAAACCATTTATTTACGCGTATTTTTTGTTTTTTTTTGTATGTCCGAAAATGCTTAGTTTTGGAGATACAGGGTGTAGAAGTTTCATTTTTATTTCGATTTTTTCCAAATAATTTCTGAAGTAGCAACAATATTTGGATGAAAATTGGTGTCCGGGAGTTTTTTGACATAAGAAATTTGATTTTGATGTCAATATGACTCATAACATATGAGATATGAAAAGTAATAATTTTTCGCCCATACATGTATAAAACTACTGAATGAAAAAATAGTGACTGAATCCGTGACTTTTTTACATACAAAATGTCTCTTGGTAAAAATGGCGATACATGTCATTATTGACAAAAAATGAACATGTTCAGTAGACATGACTGAAATGATAAATTTAGGAACTGTTGATTTTTTTAAATTGATCATAAATTTTGCTTCGAAAAAATGATGATAAAACAGTTTCTGTCGAACTTTTGGCACAAAAACATTTCAAATTTATGATTTCAGCCTAATAACTATTTAGTCAACATGTTTAATTTATGTCAATGATGACAGGTATTGATAAATTCGATTCCAAATATCTCGAGAACCATTATTCTTAGCGATTTTCACCAAGAGACCTTTTTTACGTAAAAAAAGTCGTAAATGTATATTTTTCAGTAGTTTTATACACGTACGGACGAAAAGTTTCAAACCAGTTAAAAATATGTATATAGTCATATTATGGACATCAAAATCAAATTTCTCATGTCGAAAAACTCCCAGACACTAATTTTCATCAAAACATTGACGTTACTTCAGAAATTATTTGGAAAAAATCGAAATAAAAATGAAACTTTTACACCCTGTATCTCCGAAATTAAGCATTTTAGGGCATACCTTTATACGAACTTTTTTACTTATTTATATCTGCAGAATATGCTTCTGAAGTTTCCAGAATACAGTTCGGACCACCCTGTCATCATCATCATCATCATTCTCAGTTTATTCAACCATTTTCAATCAGTTATACTTAAAAAATAATCTTACAATAAACGTTTTAATAATAATTGGTTTATATCACACATGTTAATACATTCTACAACTTCACCCACTCTAAAATGTTTAAAGATTTATTAATTTATTCTTATAAACGATGGAATTATTTATGATTACATTAACCCAATGTATATTTTCACATAACATTAGAATGGAATTTAAGAAAATAAATATTTTAAATACACGCAGGTAAAAGTAGTTCTCACAAAATAGATAAATAAACTTTACCGTAATCCTTTAATACTACTAGTAGGTATGTTATGTATACACACATACATAGTTAATATTAAATTTGCCAAAACAAAACCGATTAGTTTAATCTAAGAAAAAAACACCAACACATTCCTTTTGTTTATTTTTTTGGCAAAATTAGTAGCAGGCCAACGCTGCAGCGCCGCGCTTAGGCAAGTAGTTAGAAGCGCGTGCTGAGCTGCTAGCCAGATGGTTGTTTTATTGTTAACAGCCTCAGACGTATCACTTAAGTTTAATCATGGAGAAAAGTGGCAGGTGCCCCGCTATATCCTCCGAAAAACCCGCTTCGAATATATAACATCGCATTATAAAATTGTTAACCGCCATGTCGATCAGGTCGGCATCGAGGGCCGACAAGATGAACAAGATTTATACGCGACTAACCTTTATTTACTTTTAAATACACGTAACCCCAGTTATAATTTGTTGGATAATTTAAATTATTCAATAAATAATAATCTAGAAATGAAAAAGAGAATGAATGTATTCTCTTTTCATCTCTAGATAAACAATAATTGAATCGGAATTCTCTTTTCTAATGTTGCAGATTAGGTGTTTGGCATTTTACTGTTGAACAAGTATTAACCACAGATGTATTTTTAATATTGCATGATAGCCATACAATACTGAAATTTGTTATGTTTGTTCTAACCAAAACTACTAAAAACTAGTTAATATAACTTCAAAAGATTTAGTTGAGACTGAATAATCGACGAAATTTAATTTCATACTATAGGTTCGCCAGGTACATATGATCTGATTCAAATACTTGTAAATTTTATTTATTTGTCATTTGTTATTATTATATTATACCAATATTTTAATGAAGGGTATATAAACAATTCAATAAAGAAGTAGATACATCAGTTTTTCTTTTAGTTTTAGTAAAGCAATGAACCAATGAACCAGCAAAAAGACAAAACAACTACTAGAGCACAAAAAACCCTAGTACGCATATTTTAGGTGTCACAGGAAATTGTCCCACGGAGGTAAACCTCGTGAGATGGAAGATTTCCAACGACTACTGCAGAGAATGCGGAGAGGAAGAAGAAACCATAGAGCACCTGCTGTGCCACTGTCCGACACTGGAATACCAACGCTTTAAAACTTTAGGGCAAGTTTTTTGGAAGGACTAGAAGAATCAGTAGAAGCCAACATCAGCGACATCGGGAACTTTGCAAAGAGCTGGAACTGTTTTAGTGCAAAGAAAGAATGAGAGGAAGGTTTAGTACACAGGAGTGTCGCAATGGGGCCTAAGGCCTCCGAGTGAAGGATCAAACTTGATCCCAAACACCAACGACTTAACCTAACCTAAATCAATCAAACATAGAATTATTAAGAAAAACTATGGGAAAGTATAAACCAATAATTGTTTTAATTTAATGCGTTAAATAGTGTTTGCCTTATTTCTACATAAGATATTAATGGAATCAATGCTTATTGTTTCTTCCTTTGAAGTTTCTTATGCATTAAATTGCTTAAAATACTATATATTTAAATATTTTCTATGTAGAACGTACATCTACAGTTCATATCAAATTAACTTTTAGTCACGTGATTAAGCTTGACCGGCTCAGCGTTGCCCACTTTTATATAATATATTCTTTTAATCAAAATATTTTAGAAAACAAAAATAAATTAATTATAAATGAAGACTACACGGGAAAAACGGACTAAGTCCAAAAAAATGGAAATTGAGATAACACTGCCCATCAAGCGTCCGTTCCAAAATAGGAATAATGTAACATTGAAATAATCATCTAAGTCCATTAAAATCAGCGATTAAAATATTAATACTTTGGAAAAGCGATCTAAGTCCACGTGAATTCACGGAAGACCGATCCAAGTCCATATTTCATGTTTGTAAACATATCAATGCATAGAATGTGAATAAAAATAGCTATATATTCAGTACCACAACAACTTTATGCTGACCTAATTCCTTTGCCCAAACTCAAGTATGAGCAGTTACAATCTTTGAAAAAGTTCGTAGATGAATCTCTGCAAGACTACTAAACAAATTTGCCTTGTGCGTCAAACAATGCTCATCTAAACGATGCAGATATAGTGAGTAATATCAGTTTAACTATATTGCTTTTATTTCTGCCTAAGAAAAGAAGTCTGATTATGTCTATTGTCTCACTAGTTTTAAATTCAAAGAAATTAAATTCTAGAAATGGGGGTTCTAGTGGAACCATAACGGAACTGTCTGTAGTGTAGTTTCATTTTATCAGAAACAAATCGCCATTCCTAAGTAAAAAATAATCTAATGCTAATAATATTAATAAAAAAATAATAATAAAAATAAGAAATAAATAAAAAAATATTAGGAGAATATAATAACAATATTAATAATAAAAATGAGAATAAAGACATATTTTTCTTTTTATTCCAGCACGAGTAATCCTCGGAGTAACCACATACAGAATTATTCCATATGGACTTGGATCACTTTTCCATTGAACCAAGCGAATACGAGTTTTATTTTATCTAACAAATTTGCTACAAATTATAATTGTTTTGTCTGTTAATCAGTTAATGTCTATACATTTAACTATTGATAAAAACTTCTTACGATTCGCTAAATTTTATTATTTCTTTTCCTTTAGTCTTTAAAGTTTCAAAATCATTTATCTCAAAAGTAAGAAAATGTGACTTAGATCGTTTTTCCCCTGTCGTCTTCAAATATATAAACAGTTATTATTTACATCAACAAAACGCAGCTTTTTAACGGCACTTACGGGACATAAAGGGCCATTACTACCGCTTTCCCGTTCGAAATATTCTAATAAAGTTGCGATGATTTTTTTTACGGCTATTAAGCTATCTTGTACCACTTTGCACTAAAAGAGGTTCTAAAAAGAACAATGTTCGACTGTAAGGTCTGCTAGTAAACATTTTTAAGCTTAAAGTATAACATTATTTATTTAAACCAAAAACTCGTAAAGCAAAACTAAAGTGTAAAAACGAATGACAATGTCAGGAAATAAATAAATAAATGCAGCAACTTGACATTTTTTGCAGCACAGCTACCACCTAAATTCCCAGGGCGAAATTTAAATTTCAATTCGTCAGCCGATTATGTCAATGATTGGCAACAATGAAAATAAAAGTCGCGCCCTTGATTACGTAACTAAAAGTTTAACTGATATGAAATATAGTAAAAATCTATTAAAGAAGTTCAAGAATCTTGCAGCAAAACGAAGACCAAGACTGCACCCAGAAAGACTAAGACCAAGTCTACTTATTAGACTGCAAAACCAAGACCAAAGGATTATTGGTCTTCGTCTTGCATCTGCTCATCACTAGCAGCAGATACCATTATCCCTGTATTTGTTTAAAGATGCCAAATAATGTGTTATTTCTTTTAAAAAGTAGTAATAATATTTATTTTCATTTTCCTATCTAATATCTTGCTGTATAAAGACAATATATTGGTAATACTTTCAGCTGCCCTAAACCACCGAAACCTTCAACTATTTAACGGTCCATATTATCGGGCTGAGCCCGATCCTGCCCGACTCATCTCACGCTTGATCTTTTTTTATTACAGGGCGCTAAGTCGTCGGTAAAAATAAAGCGTCCAAAACTTAATGGGATTATTTTTTTAAGGCTGTCGGGCCCCGGTCGAGATTTAAATGTATGCAAATTTCGGCGGGACCTCAAAGCTCCACCACTCGTCAAAAGCAACCGGCCAATTGAAAAGTGATTTCGGACTTTCCTTTCTGGAAATTGACCGAAACACATATAAGCTCGTTTTACGGGGCTGAAACCGATAGTTGCAGTCGCTTAACGTTAATTCAGAATGTTGGTAAATGAATACGGGTAATAAGTAATAGATATGCGTTTTGTAATAGATTTCACTGAAATATTAGGAAAATATCACTAATAGGTACAACCAGACCTTGTTTAAAAGTGGTAGACTATGTTTCTTTTGAAATAGAATTATTATGTGTTACTTTCATACTAACTTACACAACAACAACGCGACGGTTCTGATAGTTATACCACTCGCTGTTATCAATTAGACACAAAAAGGACCGACACGTTTGAGACATGGTGGAACCATTTGATTCTTAAGAGTTGTCTATAAGGTGTCTCCGTTGCAACTTTTTTAATGCGTTCATGTGTCGGCGTTACGGCACGATTTCGCTTCCATATAACATGGTGGGGATTATTATTGCTCGGTACACTGCAAGTTTCGTTTTTGTACTGAAGTCATGATTGTAGAAAACCCTGTCTTTAATTTCCAGAATGCTCTTGAGGCGCTGCTAATGCTGTGCTGAATTTCAGAGTCGATATTGGCCTTTTCCGAAATCAAACTGCCGAGTTAATTGAATTCCGCTACATATTCCAATAGTTCTCCGATCTTTATAGCATTGTTGTGATCTTCCGGGGAAGTGCACTTGATTTTAGTTTTATCGATATTAAGCTAAAAGCCAAACCCTCCTATGCCCAGATATGTGTTCAACATTTCTTCTAATTGCTGTAAGAGCGCAGTCATCAGTGTATTGAAGTTCTGTGATGAATTGTGTACGTGTTTTTGACCTGAGTCTTTTTATGTTAAACAGACCGCTGTCGTATCTGTATCTAATGCCCAATACTCTTTCCTGCAGTTCGCTGTCCACTATAATCGAGAGCGCTGCCATGAATATGTTGAGTAGAAGAGACGCTAAGACATCCCCGATTAACTCCTGTATTTGTTAGGAAAGGATCGCTCAGTGATGCACGATGTGACACTTTTGACTTGTTGTTATGGAGGTTTTTACACACTGTAAGAAATTTGTTGGTCATCATTCATGAGACTGTGGCACCTGCATTGGATAAAAGTAAATGACCCTTCAATGTCTGGTTGGCTGATAACGATATTATAATTTTGAATAACACAGCCACTTTAAATTTCCCTGTTTTCCAATGCAGGTCCAACATTGTCTTCTGTCACAGATCTACCTTTATTGTGATAGTATAATGTTCTTTAAGAGAGAAATTCTGATTATTTCGTCCATTTAGAGGCATAGGTTCGCCGCAGCCCGTCTCCAATTATGCCAAAATCGACTCACATTTTTCTTCAATACCAAAACCTTAAACCCACCCTGATGAAGATGTAAACGAAACGTCGTATCCAACATTGTATAGTGGGACCGCGTGCACCGTCGCTCACATAGCCTACCCACCAAACTTGGTTGCGATCGGACGACATCAAATTTTGACGTTTCTTACGTCAAAACTAACTGTCACAGTGACACGTGTCGTACACGGTCAAGTTGGCCTTGGTCCAATCTATTGACATACCAAGTTTCAATTAAATCGGACGATTTTTTCTAAGCCGTAGGTTGTACTTACCACTTTTCCTCTCGCGTCACCAAATCTTTATTTTGCTTTTTGCTATAACATCGACTATGAACTCTAATTACAATTGGAAATAGAAGTATATTGCGATGCCTAACTGTAATCATCTATAACATTTCCCATTCCTAATTAAAATATTATGCAAATCCGATCGGTAAGCAACTTTCCGACGTAGCCCGGTACTGACGGCCCGCGGTGTCCCCTTGGTGGTACCCGTTCACATGCTCACAATTATTATTCATGGTTTTTAGTGATAGACCGCCTCGACCGCCGCCGCCGCCGAGGTGATTTATTTCTATAAGTCGGCCGGTCATTTTTTAACAACGCAAATAAGATGCCGACGACGCCCACTTAGCAATTCCAAAATGATTAAATATCTTCGAAATTAAGGCATTATTACAACTAAATTTTTTAAAAACAAATCATTTTTTTTTTTTTTTTTTTTTTATTTTTAATATAAGAAAAAAAGGGTTTTAAACATTTCCTTAATAGTTTATTTACCTTTAAAATATCCCAATTTTAGGTTTGTAATTTACCGAAAATGGATAACTATTCTTAGAACTTCTAAACCCATTATCTACTTAGAAATATCCACATTCAGCTGTATCGATCAACTCTACGTTTTAGGCATTTTAGGCTTGAAGGAGTTCCGTGCCAGCCACACTTTACCAAAAACAAGGTGACCTAATTCGATATCATTATTTTTAACAGCGCATTAATTAGAAAACTTCTGTTGAACGATGTTTATCCTGACTTTTGTCGATCACCTATTTTTGGAGAGTTCTATAAATAAATTCAAAAAGAGTCCCTCAACATTTGCTTTTTAACAATATATTAGAGCGGTTAATGGTTGATGACATTTAAGTTAGCAGAAAATTTGATTTAGTTTGTCATTTGATTCATCTCAATAGCTTTATTTTTGTTGAATGTAGACAATGACGTTTTTAAATAAGACAGTAACGTTTTACAGCAATTTTAGCATTTATTTTGGGTCCTCATCAACAAACTTATAAAATAGTTTTTTTTGTTTCTGTAACGCCACTGTCACTGAAAAGTCTTATTATTATTGCTTATTAACATTTACTCTAATAGAGATGGTTTTAAGTTTTGAACTATCGGCTATTGTTGCTTTGATTGATCATGGTAGAGATTAACTTTTTGACTTAAAACCATATCTGCTAGAGTAACTGCCCAACACACAATAATAACATGATTTTTCAAAGGCAGTGTCTACCAGGCCTGGGTCAACCAGGCGGGCTAGACGATCCTCTGAGAGTAGGTCTTAGCGGAGCAGAAGCACGGAGATACCTCCGACTGCTCCACGAAGGATTTTGTTGCTCCAGCAGAAGCAACAAAAACACTCTTCCAAAAAGGGGAGAGTAAAGAAACCAAGAAACAACCTGACTCATCTCCATCAAAGGGCAAGAGAGGGAACGAGTCTCTCACCTCTTCTCCGGCAGGGAGAGAAAAAAGCCAGGATGGAAAGCCGTCCAACACCGGGAGGCAAGCAGGGACGAATCACCAGCTTTGCCGCTATTGCTGGACAAGTGAAAATGGCGGTGCTGCCAAAGGATTTCCCAGAGGTTGCTCTGACCACCGACCAGCAAATATCTCTAGAAGAGGCTATACTGGACGAAGTAGTGGCGATCGGATCGCAACACAAGGATATACAAAATGTGGGTCAGCTGCCGTTTTGCGGGAATACACTTTCGGGTGGGCATGATCCTCATAGATTGTGTATCTCAAGAATCGGCGAATTGGTTGGAAATCGCGCCTAAGCTTAAAAATTGGCAAGGGTCGGAACTGGTTGCAGTGAAGGGAGAAAACATCCCTAAAGGGGCGGCCATCACGGTCTTTCTGCCGAGGAGCAACGGGGAAAACACCACCTACCTGCTGAGCCTTATCCAGGGTCAGAACAATGTAAGGACATTGAGCTGGTGAGTCATCAACTCGAGGGAGGAGGGTCATGGTCCTCACAACAGGAATTGACCTCAAATCCAAGGCGGCAATAGAGAAAGAGGGACATATCCTCTATTATAGATACGGGACAGTACCGGTATTAGTTAAAGTTATCAAGTTAAAGAGGTGGAGAAAATGGAGACAGATCCGCCAGCCTCCACCTCACGGGTTCCTCAGCCGGAGGCAAGCTCCTCGACTGTTAAGGGCGGCACGGAGGGTCAAACTCCAACCGTGGAAGGGTGTGTACCCTCGGAGGAAGAACTGTTGTCAGTTATGGTCGCAGTGATTAACCCCCCCTCTTACTCATTCTATATTCTACAAGGCAGTGTTTAATAAGTGTCTTTGCTTAGACAATGTAATTATTTAGATTTTCGTGGCTAAATATTTCAGAACATCTTTAATAGAGAAAGCATTACTAATTTATAATTTGTAATCATCAATCAAAAATAATTCATATTTACCTCCGAAAAAGTGGGGGTTCGACCAAGAGCAAATGAAAATCGTTCTCTGACGATACCTCTCGATCTCTGTGGTGAACGGCGCATTTAAAGCTTCTTGATCGTTTTCCAGTCATCTGAAAAAATAAACACATCGTAAATAAAACAGAATTTATATCAGAAATACCTAACATCAATAGTGGGACTCAAATACCGAACGCTTATTTTACTACTTTTTCGGACTAGTGGAATGGGCTCTTAAGGAGAAAATGCAACAGAACTTCAGCGAAAACTTTTGACTTAAGCCCGGTATACAATAACCCGCGTAATCTATTTTAAGGGCCGGTCCACGCATAACTCATCTCGATTAGATCGGAATGCCGATCGGAAGAGATTGCGTTCCACGCCCCCTCGCTAACTAAATTAAACTCATGTAAATGAACACTCCCGATTAATTAAATATCGGCCGCGTAGTGTATTTTCTTTATTTATTTTCGTGTAGGGCAGGCCGTTTTTAACCAACCCCGACCGTCCATCAATTGGTCAGTTGCCAGAGGAGACCCGTGCGAAATTTTGTATCTTTATCTCTGGAAGGAATGTTAACATTCCATCGGTCTTCAATAATTTTAAAACCATTTATTTACGCGTATTTTTTGTTTTTTTTTGTATGTCCGAAAATGCTTAGTTTTGGAGATACAGGGTGTAGAAGTTTCATTTTTATTTCGATTTTTCCAAATAATTTCTGAAGTAGCAACAATATTTGGATGAAAATTGGTGTCCGGGAGTTTTTTGACATAAGAAATTTGATTTTGATGTCAATATGACTCATAACATATGAGATATGAAAAGTAATAATTTTTCGCCCATACATGTATAAAACTACTGAATGAAAAAATAGTGACTGAATCCGTGACTTTTTTACATACAAAATGTCTCTTGGTAAAAATGGCGATACATGTCATTATTGACAAAAAATGAACATGTTCAGTAGACATGACTGAAATGATAAATTTAGGAACTCTTTATTTTTTTTAAATTGATCATAAATTTTGCTTCGAAAAAATGATAATAAAACAGTTTCTGTCGAACTTTTGGCACAAAAACATTTCAAATTTATGATTTCAGCCTAATATAACTATTTAGTTAACATGTTTAATTTATGTCAATGATGACAGGTATTGATAAATTCGATTCCAAATATCTCGAGAACCATTATTCTTAGCGATTTTCACCAAGAGACCTTTTTTACGTAAAAAAAGTCGTAAATGTATATTTTTCAGTAGTTTTATACACGTACGGACGAAAAGTTTCAAACCAAATGAAAATATGAATATAGTCATATTATGGACATCAAAATCAAATTTCTCATGTCGAAAAACTCCCAGACACTAATTTTCATCAAAACATTGCCGTTACTTCAGAAATTATTTGGAAAAAATCGAAATAAAAATGAAACTTCTACACCCTGTATCTCCGAAATTAAGCATTTTAGGGCATACCTTTATACGAACTTTTATACTTATTTATATCTGCAGAATATGCTTCTGAAGTTTCCAGAATACAGTTCGGATCACCCTGTATATCATCATCATCATCAGCATTCTCAGTTTATTCAACCATTTTCAATCAGTTATACTTAAAAAATAATCTTACAATAAACGTTTTAATAATAATTGGTTTATATCACACATGTTAATACATTCTACAACTTCACCCACTCTAAAATGTTTAAAGATTTATTAATTTATTCTTATAAACGATGGAATTATTTATGATTACATTAACCCAATGTATATTTTCACATAACATTAGAATGGAATTTAAGAAAATAAATATTTTAAATACACGCAGGTAAAAGTAGTTCTCATAAAATAGATAAATAAACTTTACCATAATCCTTTAATACTACTAGTAGGTATGTTATGTATACACACATACATAGTAAATATTAAATTTGCCAAAACAAAACCGATTAGTTTAATCTAAGAAAAAAACACCAACACATTCCTCTTGTTTATTTTTTTGGCAAAATTAGTAGCAGGCAAACGCTGCAGCGCCGCGCTTAGGCAAGTAGTTAGAAGCGCGTGCTGAACTGCTAGCCAGATGGTTGTTTTATTGTTAACAGCCTCAGACGTATCACTTAAGTTTAATCATGGAGAAAAGTGGCAGGTGCCCCGCTATATCCTCCGAAAAACCCGCTTCGAATATATAACATCGCATTATAAAATTGTTAACCGCCATGTCGATCAGGTCGGCATCGAGGGCCGACAAGATGAACAAGATTTATACGCGACTAACCTTTATTTACTTTTAAATACACGTAACCCCAGTTATAATTTGTTGGATAATTTAAATTATTCAATAAATAATAATCTAGAAATGAAAAGAGAATTAATGTATTCTCTTTTCATCTCTAGATAAACAATAATTGAATCGGAATTCTCTTTTCTAATGTTGCAGATTAGGTGTTTGGCATTTTACTGTTGAACAAGTATTAACCACAGATGTATTTTTAATATTGCATGATAGCCATACAATACTGAAATTTGTTATGTTTGTTCTAACCAAAACTACTAAAAACTAGTTAATATAACTTCAAAAGATTTAGTTGAGACTGATGAATAATCGACGAAATTTAATTTCATACTGTAGGTTCGCCAGGTATAAATGATGATTAAAGGGTATACAAACAATCCAATAAAGAAGTAGATACATCAGATTTTCTTTTAGTTTTAGTAAAGCAATGAACCAGTGGTAGATAGCAAAAAGACAAAACAACTACTATAGAGCACAAAAAAACCCTAGTACGTATAATTGTAGGTGTCATCACAGGAAAATGCCCCACGGAGGTAAACCTCGTGAGATGGACGATTTCCAACGATTACTGCAGAGAATGCGGTGAGGAAGAAGAGCCCATAGAGCACCTGCTGTGCCACTGTCCGGCACTGGAATACCAACGCTTTAAAACTTTAGGACAAGTTTCTTGGAAGGAACTAGAGCAGAAGCAAACATCAGCGACATCGGGAACTTTGCAAAGAGCTGGAACTGTTTTAGTGCAAAGAAAGAATGAGAGGAAGGTTTGGTACACAGGAGTATCGCAATGGGGCCTAAGGCCTCCGAGTGAAGGATCAAACTTGATCCCAAACACCAACGACTTAACCTAACCTAAAGCAATCAAGTATAGAATTATTAAGAAAAACTATGGGAAAGTATAAACCAATAATTGTTTTAATTTAATGCGTTAAATAATGTTTGCCTTATTTCTCCATAAAATGTTAATGGAATCAATGCTTATTGTTTCTTCCTTTGAAGTTTCATATGCATTAAATTGCTTAATATACTATATATTTAAATATTTTCTATGTAGAACGTACATCGGCAGTTCATATCAAATTAACTTTTAGTCACGTGATTAAGCTTGACCGGCACAGCGTTGCCCACTTTTAAAAAATATATTCTTTTAATCAAAATATTTTAGGAAACAAAAATAAATTAATTTTAAATATATAAACAGTTATTATTTACATCAACAAAACTCAGCTACTTAACGGCACTTAAGGGACATAAAGCCATTACTACCGCTTTCCCGTTCAAAATATTCTAATAAAGTTGCGATGAATTTTTTACGGCTATTAAGCTATCTTGTACCACTTTGCACTAAAAGAGGATCTAAAAAGAACAATGTTCGACTGTAAGGTCTACTAGTAAACATTTTTAAGCTTAAAGTATAACATTATTTATTTAAACCAAAAACTCGTAAAACAAAACTAAAGTGTAAAAACCAATGACAATGTCAGGACATAAATAAATAAATGCAGCAACTTGACATTTTTTACAGCACAGCTACCACCTAAATTCCCAGGGCGAAATTTAAATTTCAGTTCGTCAGCCGATTATGTCAATGATTGGCAACAATGAAAATAAAAGTCGCGCTCTTGATTACGTAACTAAAAGTTTAACTGATATGAAATATAGTAAAAATCTATAAAGAAGTTCAAGAATCTTGCAGCAAAACGAAGACCAAGACTGTACCCAGAAAGACTAAGACCAAGTCTACTTATTAGACTGCAAAACCAAGACCAAAGGATTATTGGTCTTCGTCTTGCATCTGCTCATCACTAGCAGCAGATACCATTATCCCTCTATTTGTTTAAAGATACCAAATAATGTGTAGTTTCTTTTAAAAAGTAATAATAATGTTTATTTTCATTCTCCTATCTAATATCTTGCTGTATAAAGACAATATATTAGTAATACTTTCAGCTGCCCTAAACCACCGAAACCTTCAACTATTTAACGGTCCATATCATCGGGCCGAGCCCGATCCTGTTCGACTCATCTCACGCTTGATCTTTTTTTATTACAGGGCGCTAAGTCGTCGGTAAAAATAAAGCGTCCAAAACTTAATGGGATTATTTTTTTAAGGCTGTCGGGCCCCGGTCGAGATTTAAATGTATGCAAATTTCGGCGGGACCTCAAAGCTCCACCACTCGTCAAAAGCAACCGGCCAATTGAAAAGTGATTTCGGACTTTCCTTTCTGGAAATTGACCGAAACACATATAAGCTCGTTTTACGGGGCTGAAACCGATAGAATGTTGGTTAATGAATACGGGTAATAAGTAATATATATGCGTTTTGTAATAGGTTTCACTGAAATATTAGGAAAATATCACTAATAGGTACAACCAAACCTTGTTTAAAAGTGGTAGACTATGTTTCTTTTGAAATAGAATTATTATGTGTTACTTTCATACTAACTTACACAACAACGACGCGACGGTTCTGATAGTTATACCACTCGCTGTTATCAATTAGATACAAAAAGGACCGATACGTTTGAGACATGGTGAAACCATTTGATTCTCAAGAGTTGTCTAAGGTGTCTCCGTTGCAACTTTTTTAATGCGTTTGTGTGTCGGCGGTACGGTACGATTTCGCTTCCATATAACATGGTCGGGATTATTATTGCTCGGTACACTGCAAGTTTCGTTTTTGTGCTGAAGTCATGATTGTAGAAAACCCTGTCTTTTAATTTCCAGAATTCTCTTGAGGCGCTGCTAATCCTGTGCTGAATTTCAGAGTCTATATTGGCCTTTTCCTAAATAAAACTGCCGAGTTACTTGAATTCCGCTACAT